CGGAAGAAAAATATATTTGGTCTAGCAAATGTCTATTAAAATTTATGAAATTTTTACAGGGACTAAAGCATTCATATATGTACCACATATAAAAATTTGGGGTCTCGACGACGTTTGAAGCACGAATATATTGCTCGAATATGCTGGACCGGAATCTCGGATTCGACATGATGTAGTTTACTAAGATGGGTATAACTTTTGTTCTTGATAATATTTTTGAGAAATTCCAAAGGCCACTATTAGAAGACTCATAGACCTTTCAAAAGCCACTGATTTCACTTAAAAACATATACCGTAGCCCAAGTTATATCATTTTCAAATAGGAGGACAGAATCTGAAGTTTAACCCAGCATAAATTAAACTTCATACATATTCAATCCAACACTTCTAAATTCTAGTTAACATGCATTGTCTATGAAACTAAACAAAATAAACATTAAAAACATTTCTAAAAGGTGTCATCTAAGTATCCATAAAGTGTTTACATAAATGGAAATCTTTACTAGAAGTTGAAAGCATTTGAGATTGCCGAACACTTGCCACTATGCCGAACACTGCCATGCCTCAATCTTAACCTGTAAAATTATTTGTAGGGATGGGTACTATAAATAATATTCAGTAGGAAAGCACTTAAGCAAATGGTAAAAATATATATTTTCAAAAATGCAAACTTTATTCGATTTTGTCACCGTCAATTTCAAGCGAATTGGTGATCAGTCAGCCCGCTTACTTTTAGGTTTTGATAACCCCATTTCATTTATCATAATCATCTCTTCATATCTTGTATAAACCACCAAATGGTGATTCCATCATGAGTAACACAATAAGAAGTTTAATGCAAATGATAACATATAAATCTTACATCACTTACAAAAGCGCAGAAACACCCCTACCTTAATGCTTGGAGTTTGAATATCCTTTCGTGTCCAAAGAAATAAAATGCAGCGTAGTTTTAGCGTCCTCTTTTAAGAATTTTCAGATTTGAGTTATCGAATTTATCTTATGGCTTTTAAAATGAAAAGGGATAGTTATTATTTCTAATTCCAAATGAAGTGGCGGCAATGTAATTTAAAACAGAAGTTGCAAAGGAATAATGTAAGAGGTGGTTATGATATTTTAATTGTAATCTCCAATGGATGGCAGGGACATGCAAGTTAACTTCCCAATTCAATAGCAAATTAAGAAAATGGTGGTTAGACTTTTGAAATGTCTTCAAAGGGTTGAATAGTACGTGCCATTTAACTTCCAATATACAATGGCAGTTTTATATGTATACATCTTTTGGGAAGTTAACAAATAAAATGGAGTTACAAAAGATAATAATGTGGGGGTTATGGCTTTGAAATGTTAATCTTCAATGGATGAACAGGGCACGTAACTTCCCAATGATCAAATGACAATTTTTTATTTATATAAATATATATCTTTTGATGGTTAACAACAAATAAAATGGGAGTTAATATAGTAAGTGGGGTAGTTAATGGATAAAATTGGAGTTGTAATTTTATTTTCAAATGAATGATCATGGACGGTTTCGGCATTGACAAAAATGGAAGTTTATTAAAATAGTAAGTTGGAGTATATATGATGGATGATGAAACATGCAAGTAAATTGTCCAATTTCTAAAAAAAAATAATAATAAAATAAAATAAAAAAAGGTAGTTTACATAATGGAAACCAAAATGGTAGTATTAAAATAAAGTGTGTCATAAGAAAAATAATGTAACCAAATTAACATAAAATTTTTTCATTTAAAAGCAATTTTAACACCTTGTAAAATTTAAGAAAATCAAGTACCCAGATTATATTTGAGTCCCATAAGAAAATTTTATTTTGGAACGAAACAAAATATTTTTTTTTCGGTCGCTACAGTGATTGGGGTGGATCTGTGGATGATATGAAGAGTATATCTGGGTACTGCTTTAGTTTAGGATCAGGTGTGTTCTCTTGGTGTTCTAAGAAACAAGAGATTGTAGCACAATCTACTGCAGAGGCTAAATTTGTTGCTGCTACTGCAGCAGCGAATCAAGCACTGTAGCTGAGAAAGTTGTTATGTGATTTAAATTTGAAACAACTGAATGATACGGAAGTATTTGTGGACAATTAGGCTGCAATTGCAATATCTCATAATCCGGTTTTTCATGGAAAAACTAAACATTTTAAGATTAAGCTATTCTTTTTGAGAGAAGTGCAAAAGGAAGGACATGTGAACTTGGTTTATTGCAGATCTGAAGATCAACTTGCAGACATTTTCACAAAACCTCTTCCGGCAAACAAATTTGAGCTTCTTAGGCAAAGACTTGGAGTTTGCAGCTCCTAATGCAAGGAGGAGTGTTGATTATTTGCATCAGGATCACTACCTACTTGATACCCACGTGTTTTATTTATTTATTTATTTTAATTAGTCAAGTTATGGTTCCTAGGTTGTAGGATTTGGTTAATTTGTTATAACGTGCAGTGAGTCATGGCCACTTTGGTAGTTGTTCAGTTTTTCTTTTTTCTATATAATGTAAGCTTGATGCATTATGAATGCAAGTTTCAATTCCCGTATATCTTCCTCCATTTTTCTTAATTTTGCTCTAAGAAATACCATTTATCAAATTGTTCTTTCATCTTTAAAACTAACAAGAATAATGTAAATTATGTTTGGTACGAAATATTTTAAACTCAATAGTGCATAAGATTTTCACACTTTTTAGAGTAGAGAGGATGGTGGACGACAAATTTAGTATTGATTAGCAGTAAAGAAATCACTGCATATGGAGAGCGGTTGCATTGCCGTCTAATTTTTACTATTTCGTGTTCGTTAAGTTGCACAACTCTATTCCACAATAGAGCTATGAATTAAGCTGCTTTACACTCACCAAGCACAGACACAAAAAACACAATCATTTTCATTTGTTTCTTATTAGTATTTTTTTCCTTTTTAGAGTATATTCAGGGTGAAACCCAAACCCGACATTGTGCAATCTTGACCTAGTTCAACTTACCTAACATTTGTGCAAAGCTAAACTTTTCAGGGAGTCTGCCCACGTTCATTTCCTTCAAATACTTTGAATATTAAAGGATAATTGATTTGAAAATTTGAAATTTTCATGACCCAAACTTGGTGTTCAAGGGAAATAATTCATTGATTGTTTCATTTTCTAGCTACCGTTAATGTCGACCACCAAAAGACGAAATAATTTGTCGATTTCATTTGACAGGTGATCCGACAAATTTATGTAGCCCTTGATTGGTCATACCATGTGAAGTGCATATCAAATTGATATGATGTCCAGACACCAAAAAAATAATTGAAGAAAAAGTTGAAACCTTTAATTTCGATTACCAAATAGGCCTCTCTGAGATTAATATGACCTTGGTTATGTACCCTATGTTAAGCATCTAATATTTATAATAACAAAATGTGGGTTCTTTTTCTGGTGTAATACCATACATTACTCTTTAACCCATTACTCAATATGTCAGGGCTAATTTTACAGCAAAGAACTGTTGGAATTGGTTCAAAAATTAACCAAAAATTAGAAAATGAGAAGGTGTGTAAAAGTGGAAAATGAAAAGGTGTGACAACGTGTCAACTTCGACCAAATATTCGGACTTGATCCAATAGTCAAATTACAAAAGTAAATAGACCAAATTATTCTACTCGTCGAGTAGATCGTCGTGGTATATTTAGAATCTCGAAACCAATTCCGGATGAATGAGAAATTGCGGTCCAAAGTTGAAATAAATGAAGTGTTGCAACTTTTCGAAAGGATGCATGTTTTGGCTAAGTGTTGCAACGTTTTGAAAGGATGCATGTTTTGGCCCACACTACTTCATTTGCACCATTTCTACATCTATAAATAGAACCCTATAGACATGATTTTGGGTACACCAATTGCATTGAGCATTCATTCTTCTCTTGCGATTCTCTCATTTCTAATTCCATAGCATTTTCATGCATTTCCTTGGTAGAGAGGGAATTCCGTTCGAATTCGTTGATCAATGCCATTTGGAGTGCTTCTATAGCTTGACGTGATCATTGTATCTTGGGAGATGATTGTCGAAAAATCGTTAGCACCGATGCGGGACAAATTCATCTTAAGGACCAAGTGTCAAACACTTGCCTCGACCAAAAATTCATCACTTGCATCTTTCTTCCTACAATTTTCTGATTTCTTTTGATTATATTTTGATTTCAGGAAATGATTAATATTGTTTACATGTTTATGTTGCAAGGTTAGATCAAAAGAATAAGTTGTTTTCGTTCAAGAATCGAAAGGGATGAATCCATATCCATGCATTCAGATTCGGTAACTTTATGTTTTGCTTCTCAAATCCTATTTCGATACGTCGAAATTACATTTCGATTTCACGCAAATAACCGGTATGCTTTTGTGAATATAATATGCACGTAATCAGTGTAAATTTTCCCAACAAGAACCACGTATAAAAATGCATAGATGGTATTTGTGGTTATTCTCAGTACACTTCTGTAAGGGACTGTAACCACAAATATGTCAGATATTTCTTAAACTTCACAAATGGAAAAGGAAAAGTAACATGAGGAAAAAAAATTACAAGTTCATTTTAAATGTAACAATACTGTTTGGATACAAAAGTTGTTAGGGAAAGCTTTTTCTTCTATACCAGGTGGAAGTGGAATGAAATTAAGAGGGAATGCTTCTGCTTCGAAACAATTTCATGTAAAATTGATATGTATATATCATGAAAATAAAATTTGGATCATTTACCTCTTTATCTTCATTTGTAATGAACATATAATATTTTCATATAGATTGGTCCTTGGTAGAGCGAATAAACAAAAGAAATTTCAATGAAATCATTTTTTTTAAGCTCAACAAAATGTGTAATTTCAGCATTCCACGTGTATTCCTGAATAATCTCATTTTTCAATTATTCAACCATTCATCCACTTGAAATTTTCAAGTTCAGCTGAGATCTAATATCCCGTTGTTCCTTAGTAGCTCAAAGGGTGAGTCGAGGCCTAAGATCAGGCCGAAAGGTGTAGTCGATGGACAACATGTGTATTTCCTATCAAGAGCTCCAAAGGTGAAAGGGTCGAGGAAGAAGAAAGGATATTATTGTCTTTGTTGACAATGTTTTCCCAAGTTTCGAAACCAAAAGGAGGGATTGAAAATCCCAAGTTGAGGTCCCAAGATTCCTCCATATTAGGGTTTTGTGACTGTGAGCTTGTCAAATCAGAATGTCTAATAGGATCTTCATCAAAAATCTTCCTTGATGATGATCGTTTGTTCTTTCTTGAACTCCCTCCAACGGGAATGTTTCTGAGAGATCCATCTTCAGTCCAATATCTTCAGCATGTCTTTGCAAAAATACCTTGGCTGGGAGAGGCTATTATTATTGTAGTAACAAAATTTTGTATTTGTTGAATTGCATCTAGGACAGTTCAAGGCTTGATCTTTTTGTGGCCTCCTCCTTTCTAATGAAGAATTTGGGCATGTATTTCTCACTATCTCTTCCATTAACGGTTTCACCGACACCAATGTATCCTAGAAGTTCAAGAAGACAATGAAATTAAGCAAAAAATGATATCCATTATAATACAGGACTCAACTGTATTGTCTAGTATATTTATAATTACTTTAGCTTCAAGATCAAACTAACAAAGAAATAAGCACCAAGATCTTTCAGAGCAAAAGAAAATACAGACATGATGGAACCAAACAAATAAAGTCAGTTGCTTTACACTTTTCAATTATCATCAACAACAGTAAATTAAACAAGAAAAGTGACAAATAAAAATTTTGACAAATTTTATCCTTTTTTGGTCCTTATAACATAAGCAAAAGAGAAAGTGAAGTGCAATGTATTTTGAAAGGAAGCAAAAACAAAAGAACTCGGAAACAAAGTGAGTTTCACGACTCTTTTACAAAAGGTGGCTGATCTCTATGCCTGAGCCCATCGACCAGCATCCATGTTGAAGAAGGGGATGAAGAAATTGTTGGAAATCTACTTATCATGTGCTACGAAAATAAAAACGAATCAATTCCCACCAAGAATCTCTTTGTGTTTAGATAAAAATTGAATCTCCTTGCAAAATCTACAAATTCCTTTGCTTTTCTTTTTTTCCAGCAACCTTGATCTGCCCCCCTACAGTTGTCCAATTGTCTAGCCTCCAATGAAATTCTACACAGAGAACAAGACTGTAAGAATTAAGGTATTTCTCCTCTTGTGCTAACAAGAATGAAATTCTCTACAAATTGAAAATCCTAGTCACTTATTTATATAAGCACAAAGGGCTTAGCATGACCCGATCCAATATTTAATTAACCCATTTAATTAAATTCGTCCCATGAATTAATTAATCCAATTAATTAATTCGAACATATAAATAAGCAACCTAATTAATTAATTTATCCAACGTTTGTTAAATTAATTAATTGATAAATAATAATATTCTAGTTCTCCTTTTATTTGCAACCCATCAAGTTCCCAATCACGATACCTAACAACGTGATTTATTATTTTGATCTAATCAAAATTGATAAATTAAAACACCATTTTAATTTATCATCAATTCACGTTCGCTATCCTAGATTGACATCTAGTAATGTGTCAGAGCAATGCATGTGACGGAAAATGTCGCGTGGTATGACAAAATCAAAATTTTTCGTCTACCGTGAAACTATAATTCCTTCGTCAATATGATTCAATCAATTACAAGATATGGAAGTGTGTCAATCTCGATTATCGATCGTGTCTTTCATTCTACTATTAAGTCAGTATAAGTAGAAAACTCATTTTCAACTTCTAGGTACACATTGGCTAAGAATTTCGTTATCGACTTAATTAAATGAAATGCAAATTATAATCTCTTACTATCTAAGAGTGACGAATCCTCTATTGGTTATTCACAACCTTCATATGATTTTTGACATACCCGAACGATGTCGTATTAGCAGCCCTTGGCAGAGCAACATCCAATACTGTCAAAGCATAACTGTCCTCATATAAGGCACTATGACGACCTTAAGTCAAAGGACCAACTCCACTATCGAATGTTGGAGATTAACCACTGACACTCAGATGGTTATCCATGTAGAATCTCCTAGAGGGGTTCCAATATTTTGTTCTATAACAAAAAATCCACGTGTTCATTCAAGTGTTACCACACTTTAACTTGTGAGATCAGCTACTTACTTCACAAGTAAGAAATGTCACACGTGATGGTCTATCCGTAATAACGATATCTGTATATCGTTATTATTTATGACTATGGATTATTTAAGTTTCAACCACACATTATTTGTATCTCACAATCACAACTCCTTTTGATTAACAAATTGTTGAAACTTTAATTTACGGACTTATTATTTAATATAATTGAATATTAATTAAATAATAGTTCTACCATAAAATCGCATCACTTATATATTAAAAGCGTTTATGTCCAAGGTTGATTGGACCTAGGGCATAGCACTTACAAACTCCCACTTGCACTAGATCCAATCACTTATGTATCTAATATTATAAAAGTCTACATGACGATCATGTTTACACTGCGAAAACTCTTTGTCAATGGATTTGCAATATTATCAATTGTGAGAATTCATTCAATTATTTACGTGATTTCTTTTCATTATCTCTCCGATGAGATGATACTATCCTAATTCATGTTTGGATCATTGATGAAATCTCAGTTCTTTCGCTTGCACGATGGCTCTATTGTTATCACAATATAATAACATGTGATCAACAATGCTAGGATTTACTCCAAGTTCATTAATGAACATCTTGATCCATATTGCAACTTCTTGCAACTTCTGAAGCAATCATGTATTATGTTTCTACTATTGAACTAAAGGTTGTTTCACGTTTTGGAGCCTTTCCAATACACCGCTTAATAGTAAACCAGTTTCTACATATAAAATCTTCTCGAGATTTTATCCTATATAGATTAGGACAGTTAATCAATCTTTTAGATCTATCTCTATAAATCAAGATGCTTATCATATATCTTTCATGAAGAAATCCTTTAACAACCACAATTTCAATGATTGAAATGTAGAGATGTCGTTTTCTATTAATAATATGCCTAATATTAGGAATGCGACAATACTCTCACTATCTTCTTGTAAACACACAATTCGTCTTCATATTTGATAAAATCAAGTATTTTGATTTTTCTATCAAATCGAAGATTTTAGTTCCAAGAGACTTGCTTTAACCCATAATCACGATATGCAACTATTGCAACTAAAATTCAAATGGACTTCAGCATGACTATAAGCGAAAGATTTCATCAAGGTCAATACTTAACCTTTTACTACTAGCCTTGCTTTATATGTATGGATATTCCTATCCATATCAACATTTCCCTTGTAAACCATTTACAACATATGGGTTTTATCCCATTATGAAGGTCGACCAAGGTCCAAACCTTAGTTTCATACATTAAGTTAATTTTGAATTCCATGGCCTCCTGACATCTATTTGAGTCAATACCTTAACTCTGCTTCTGCGTAATTAGTAGGTTTATCATCCTCGATTTACAATACTTGATTAGCAATCGTGGATCCGCATCTTCTTAAAGATCAAATGATCCTATTAGATTTAAATGGAGCTGTCACGTTCTCAGGAGTCTCTATTTCCTGATTAAGAGCATGTCATTCATCAGGTGTGGGATCAAACTGGGTTTCATCTACTTGGTCAACTACATATGTGGACTCTTGAACTCTTTTAAGCTCTATTTTGCTCCCACCGTCCTCTTACAAAGTAAACTTTTTTCTCTAAGAAGATGATATATCGTGAGACAAGACTTTCTTCTCAATAGGATAATAGAATTGATATCCAAACATCTGCTTTGAATATCCACAAATATGTATTTATTAGATTTAGTCTTAGACTTATCCGATTCAATGCACTTCAAATAAGTATCACAGTCCAAAACTTTCATATAGGATAAGTTGGGACTATTGCTTTCCATAGCTCGTATGGAGCACTGTTAACCAACTTATATGGGATATGATTTAGTGTACAGCACACTGTAATCAGTGCATGACCCCAAAATAATTTTGGGAGGTTTGCATGGCTTGTTATTTATTATACTATATATAATAGTTTACGATTCCTCTTTTCAAATACACCACTATGTTGCAGTGTATATGGAGGAGTACAGTGTAAGAGAATCTCATTCTTTCTTAGATAATCTAGAATTTCATCTTGAAGATATTCTCATCTCGATCGAATTTTAGTGTGAGGATATCTTTATCTATTTGTTTCTCTACTTCTAGCTTAAATCCCTTGAATCGTTCAAGAGGTTCGTGCTTGAATTTCATCGAATATATATGGCCATATCCGAAATAATCATCAGTAAACGTGATGAAATAAAAGAAACCTTATCTAGTATTAATTGACATCGATCTACATACATCACTATGTATTAGACCAGTAATTATGCAGATATTTCTCCCTTTCAAGTAAAAGGAGATTTGGTCATTGTGCCTAACAGGCATGATTTGCACTCGTCAAATGATTCAAAATCAATTGACTCTACATATACATTTCTTTGTAATTTTGAAATTGCATTTCATCTATTTAACCAAGTCTGCAATGCTAGATTTAGGTATTATTCAGATTGTCACTTTTATGTCTATTAACTTCTATACTCATTATATAATGCTTAGTGTTTAGAATATAAATGTCATTTTGTAGCTTACCATAACTATTAAGATCTTAATCAAGATAAGGAGGAACAACAATTGTTCTTGACATTAAAATAGTCCATGTGTGAACATGAAATTCATTTTAATGTTCCAACTATGGTGGGTACAAAGCTCCAATACTAAGCCTAAAGGCAACGATAAGAAGTATGCGCCTACAAGTAATGTAGCAATCTTTGCTCATCTTCAACGTGTAGGTCAACTTCTCCTTCTGCAGTAGTCTACTTCTATTTAGTTTCTCCATATTTGTATAAATATGATATCCACATCTGATATCAAATACCTAAGAAACTCATGAAGTAGACGTAAGCTTTGCAATATTTCTTTGAATGACCTTTCATTCTATAATGAAAGCAAGGGTCATTAGATATGGTATTGTCCTCTGCTTTGACTGTATTAGCCATATTGGATGCTTTCCAAAAGCCCATTTTTATTTCCTTTTAATACCCTTAGAGAAATCAATGGCTTGTCCACTACTAACTTTGATATTGGGCTCCACAGTCTTAAACATGTTCAACAACTCAATGAGTGTGCATTCAAGCTTATTCATATCACAATTCATAATTAGTATGAATAACTCTCTGGCGGAGATTGCAGAACTAAGTCAATACTTAGTTCCTGGTTCATGACTGAACTCAATTGAGATAACTTCTCAATGCCAAATATTTTCAGTACATAAACATTGACTGATTATTCCTGTGTCACTTTGCATCAGTATAGTAGCTTCGAAGTCTCATATCCTTCTACACATGATTATTATCATACAAGTGTTTGAAATAAAAATCATGCATTAGCATCTATACTCTCAAGTTGCTTTTGTAACTCAAGTGATGTAATGCAAACATCACACATGTTGCAGTACTATTGTCATCACCGTGTTATTATAACAGCTACCTCTTCCTTAAATGAGTCATCACCATGTGTCTCTGGAAAGGGCTGCTTAAAAACAACCAACTTTCTCATGCCTAAGAACAATTCTCAAATTACGGTGCCAATCAAGAAAAAATTGATTTTGTTGTTGGCATCCAGTATGCCACCCAAATACACATGGTTACTCACGATTCAATAAATATAAATGAAAAAAATAAAAAGAATAATATATAAAATACATTAATTAATTTAACATAGACTTTTATTAAATTAATTATGCTCCCACTGTTTAACTAAAATTTATGACCCTATCACATAAATTCATGGAGTCCATACTTGACTTTCAGTGAGCTAAGATTACATCTGTTATATTAAGACATTGAGCGTACTCAACAACCTTACTAAAATATTTGTGTAGATACTATTATCAAATGTATCTCCATACAGCTCCCAAATCATTAAGCTGACAACTCTTTGTCTTCACACATCTTATGTGTTAACTTAACATGCCTATAGAATTTATCTTCTTGAGTGTACTCAACAAAAGATAAATTTTAGTTAAGTTATACCCATCATTCAGAAATATCTAATATTTTATAGTGTCAAACATATCCATAATAGACCGACTTTGAGTGTACTTAACAAGCTGAGATCGATTGAGGACTCATATTTTTCATTATAATGATGGAAGGCTAATATAAAATGTGACTTAATATTTTATTGAGGGGTTTTACATTCAAAAAGTTTCATCTTAACAATCATATATGTTTTATTACATATCTACCATGAAAATAAACATATATATAATATAATGTAGTCGTGTGAACGATTATGGACTTTTACTAACTAGCTCTTCCCGAGCCATAAAGAAGACTAGTTGGTCAATTCTTTGGGGGTATTGCATTGAACAGTATCAATGCACCATCTCCATGGTCTCATCCTCTTCTTGTTTCTTTTATAAGTCTAGCTACAACCTGTATCATATACTAGTTGGCACACAGTCCTAAATGAAATTGAACTCCCAGGCCCATAGTAACAATAATAATAATGGACTCGCAACTCCAAAATGATTAAAAGCTCGCAGACCCATAATAATAACAACAATAACGGGCTCATAAGCCCAAAACAATTAAGAGCTCGTAGGCTCATAAAAATAACAAGAATAAAATAATCATTCAACACGTCTACATGATCGAGTTCATAATCATCCACTAACAGTACATTTATCACATAAACCTATTCTTACATAATATCTAATATTATATTCAAACATGTTTCTAGTTTCTAGCACTTAAGACCATCTAAACATTTTAAACAAATGGATTGGAACAATTAATTAATCATATTAATCAATTAATTTAATTAGCGGGTATATTTAATTAAAATCAAATTTTAATTAAATAGCAAATTAGAGTATAACTCTAATTCCACAATTATAGGGCTGGATTATTTAATTAAAATTAAATTTTATTAAATATCAAATTAGAGTCTAACTCAAGTTTCAAAATTCAAGGCGGTTGAATTTATATAAAATTAAATTTTAATTAAATAACAAAATTAGAGCCCAACTCTATTTCCAATATCTTAGAGTAAACCCGTGTAATTAAAATCAAATTTCAATTAAACACCAAATTAGAGTCTAACTCTAATTTTAAATAAAATTTTGGGGCGGGACAATTTAATTGAAATCAAATTTTAATTAAATGTCAAATTAGAATCCAATTCTAACTTCAAGAACATATTAGGGTGAAATAATTAATTAAAATCAAAATTTAATTAAGTATTAAATTAGAGTTCAGCTCTAATTTAAATTGAATTAATATTTTAATTTAGGATAAAATTCCTAAATAAATAAAATTCGGTTTAGGGTCCAGGTTTAATATTTAAGTTAAAATCTAATTTTAACGAAAATATAAAATCCTCAATTTTAAATAAAATTCTAATTGGGTCAAAATTAATATTATAGGTCAAACCCATTCAAACCAATTTTTAAAACTTTTCAAAATTGCAATTAAAAACCCTTTCCAAAATAAATTGCATTTTGACCCAATTTGAAAATCATAAACAGGCCCCTCCAATTTTGGAATTTGCATAGCAGCCCTTCATTTAAAATTACACATTGACCCTTTATTATAATTGCATGCGGGAGCCTGCAATAACAATAATTGCATTAAAGCCCCCGCATCCAACCTCTCTCACCCGTTTCACAGAAAACCCAAAGAACCCTAAAATTTAACCCAATTTCAAAAACCCTAAAATTCACCCAATCCTTGCAGCGCCGGCATCCCACCTGTTGTGGCGAGCCAACCCTGTCAAGCGACGGCGTCTTGCTACCTCAAAACCTGCATCGATGATACTATCGCTGCAATTTCAGCGACAACCTATGCCGCTGCAACACAGCAGCAGACATCTATTGCCTTTTCATACCTGCAGCAACACCGGCTGCCTCTTCATACCTGCAGCAGCTCGCTGCCTTCTCACATGGTGATGCACCCGCCACTGCGCTCCACCACCGCGATGACCATCCCCAATTTTCTTTTTATCCAAAATTTCATAACCAGATTTCAAAAAATATAAAAATCAAATTTCTTCTTAATTGTTAGAAACAAGAAAAGAACAAAATCAACTTTTGATTGTTCCAAAAAATTTAAAACAATTTCTAACAAACAAAAAGTAGGTTCTGATACCACTGTTGGGAATTTATTTATCATGCGTAGTAAAAATAAAAATAGATTTCAATTCCCACCAAGGATCCCTTTGTATTTTAATAGAAATTGTACCTTTTTGCAAAATCTACA